CAGACTCTCAGGAGCCACCCCAGACCTGCTGAATCAGATCCTCATTTTAACAAGATCCTCAGCAGATACATATGCATATCAAAGTTTGAGAAGAGCTGTCTCCAGGGACCTTATGACATACCTATTTTCAAGGGAAAAATCAGTTCAGGCATCCTGAGCTTTCTCATGAGAAAAGGAACCTTTGCCCCCAGACCTTGGTAGGGGCAGTCAGGGGTGTTGGTGGTGGGCTGTCAGGGTGTGGTTGGAGCAGGGGAGGGCTTTTCTGCCCTGGTTTAGAGCCAGAGGCCTGCCAGGGGAAGAGATGAGGGCTGCTGGTGCCCTCCCAAGAAGATAAAAAAAGCGAAAAGAACCCAGCACAGACATGCGAGGCCTCTGACAGCTCCCACGGGAAGGCTAGCAACTGCGTCACTGACTCTGCAGCCCCATGTCAAGGAAGCTTTGTGAGCATTAGATGACCTGGAGCACCAGGATAAATTTAGAAATGATGAAAAGGAACCCTTCTTGATATGATGAAGAGTCATTTAGTAGGTGTCAAGAGGGAAGAGGTCACCAAATCAGAGATTATTTAGAGATTATTTCTAGCAAAGGAAGGCCAAAGGGCTAGGAAGCTACCTACTTGGAACACAACACGGAGGCAGATTCACTTGTTACCTGCCTAAGCTGTCTGCATTTCAGCAGGGGAATTCTGTGTCCTCACTGAAGCTGCAGCTTGGGAATGGCACTCAGAGTTTACCCACCTCCTTGTGTGAAACGAGATATAAGAGTAATAGGGGACATTTGTTAAAATCCCAGCTCTGCTGCTTACTAGCTGTGTGACTGTGGGCAAGTTACTTAACCTCTCTGAGCATCTGTTTTCTCATCTTTAAAGCAGAAGTAATAATACCTGTGTTACCTGGCTGAAGTAAGGGTGAAATAAAGTTCTTCTCATGGTGCTGAATGCAATGCAAATGCTTATATTGTCTTAGATTCCTTACTTAGATAAAGCAAAATTCACTGGGTCCTCCTCCAATGTAGTGTTCACCCGTTCAACAAATAAATGCTGCTTCCTCCCCCTTTCACCTTCAAGGAATTTAGTGCTCAAAGAGCACCTTTTCCTCTGCAGTACCCTGAGGAACAAAGACCTGATTGGAATTGGGTACCCTCAATGCAAAGGGATGTTCTGAGAGGCCAGCCAGGCATCCCAGAAATGTGGTTCCTAATCCTTCCTGGGCTGTTGGTGGGAGGTCTCCTGGGAGTCCCTTTCCTAAGCAGCATGGCCAGGTCTCAGCTGGGAGTGCTGCATGCTTGGGCACCGCCCTCAGCCGAAGGCTCAGAGGAGAGGCAGTTGCAGGCCCCGGAGCCTCTGAAAGCATCACTGACTCTAGAAGCAGTTGCCCGAGAGAAGCTGACCCCATGACCATTCAGTAACTGCCACTTGGTTGGAAGGAGGAACTGGGAAAAGGAGAGACGTAGGGTTAAAAAACCCTAAGCTAAACCCATGAAGTAGGTCCTGGCATATTGGAGACCCTCCCATGGACTGGACCAACAGCATAGGCTAATAAACCGAAGGTGTTCGTTTAATGACCTTGGCCTTCTGGTCTCTTTGTCTCACTGAGAATCCTTAGACATTCCATCAAAATTGCCTTCAAAACATATATATTTTTGTCCCTAGCGAATTATATTTTTACTGTGAAAAAGCAAAATTGGTTCACTTCATCAAGCCTCAGGTGTGTTAGAAATTCACCTTTAGTCTCTCGGCACATCATGATTCAGGGTCTCCTCCAGGCCAGGCACTAAGATTACAGGGGCAATGGAGACAAGTTTCTTGTCCTCATGGAGCTCCCGCTCTAACGTGGACAGGCAGGCTATAAACAGGTAAGTCAATAAACCAACCAGCGGCTTCAGGCAGTGATTAGTGCACTGAAGGGAGTGAGCAGATGGAATGTGATGGGAGAGGACCTGTGGTGGACAGGTGGAGATGGTGTGGAGGAAAGAGACCCAGGGAGATCACGTGGCCATGGAAGGCCTCTCTGGGGAAGGACTGCTGATGTGGAAAGCCAGGGAGGAGGAAGGCACACCCAGGTGGAGGGGTGATTTCCTAAGTGGAAGGGACTTGATTCTAGGAACAGAAAGACCCATGTGTATGGGACCCACAAGCAAGGGGAGAATGTTATGAAGTCAGCAAGGTCAGTAGGAGCTGGATCACACATGATCCTACAGGCTGTGGTAAGGACTTTGTACTTATTCCAATTATGGGGAGTATGGTAGGACCTAGATTGCATTTTTAATATATAACCCTGGTTGTCATGCAGGGAAAGGATTGAAGGAAGAGAGCAAAGTCAGGAGCAGGAAAATCTCTTGGGCTACCACAGGGTCCAAGGGAGAGGTAATGGTGTTATGATTTTGGTCTTGATAGCAGAGAGAGAAGTAGTGGTGAATTACATGCATTAGGGAGGAAGGTCGGGGTGGAAGGAGGGAGGAGGGAAAGGAAAGAACCAGGGTAATTCCAGGTTCGAATAGATGATGATGTGATTGACTGAAATGGGAAGAACAAGTTTGGGAAGAAAACTCAAGACCTGGCTGGTGACTTATACTAAATTTAAATGTTCTTGTGGCCTCATTTGGCCTTGCAGCTTGAGCAGAACTGAGAACTTTCTCAATTTTCAAGAGCTGGAAGGAATTTCTCTAGCCCTCCAGGCAAGGTTAACACATTAAGTCCAAAGAGATGGAATGCCTTCCCCAGGAGTGATCTCAGGGAGGGAATCCTCCACCCTGCCTCCTCCACTCATTAACCCCTCCAACTAGTGCTTCCAGCTAGCCAACCTCAATTCCTCTTGCCACTACTTAATGTCTGCCCTCATTTCCCTGTCTGCAACTAAGTTGTTGATGGCTTCTCTTATTCTAGTTTTTCGGCTCACTATAAATCACATCAAGCACAAGGCATGCTGTTTTATGACATGTGGTCTGTCTAGCCCAGATCTTGTCACTGACAGGGGCACATGCCAGATTTTGGAAGAATATGAGAGTTGCTCTCATTAGCTCATGCTAACACCCTAACACTCCAAGCCTCTCTAATAACCCATTCGGGATCTATCATCCTGTTTTATCCAATGCTTTCTTTACCTGACTTCTTTTTCCAGTCTGAACCACCTTTTGAGTAACCAGTTCTATTTATTGATTTTCCCCTTATTTTCTGACTTAACGCCTGCAGACAGTAAGATTCTCTTACTGTTTTTCTCAAACCACCAAACTGGGGTCATATTACTCGCAGTAGTAATGGTTGCTATTTATTAAACACTTAAACACTTAACATGCCAAGTGCTTTGCATGCATTATCTCATTTAAGAATGCTCTGAAGTAGGTGTTAGTATTTTACTTTACCAATGAGACTTGGCAAGCTTTGCAAGTTGCCTGGGGTCACCTGGCTGGTGGGGGTGGGGACTGGGTTTGATCCCAGGTCAGGAGTCCCCAGAACCAATGCTGCACTCTGGACAAAGGCGGGCCTGCGAGTTGGGGCCTGTCAGAGAATGAACACTCACAATTGGTAGGGTGGCCAGCTGGGTTTCTCTGTGACTGCGGTGGGTGGAGCAAGTGATAAGGAAGTGAATGTTTTTGCAGCGATGGGATGGCGGGGTGTATTAGTAACTGCTATTGCATTCACTTCAGGAGCGACGGATCCACACCTGGTTCTACAGGATCGACGGTGTGGACAAAGGAACCTCCGTAGACATCCTATACTAACGGTGACTGGGGAAAGCTCAGAGAGCAGAGAGGTTGTCCTAAGCTGGAATGTAAAGACAGTCCCATTTTATGACAAAGGATAAAAGAAAGCGCTGATGGCCTCAGTGTACTCAACAAAGGGCAGGCTTTGGGGCACCCGTGTCTGAAAGGCTGCACACCCAAGTGCAGTGCAACTGGCTCCTGCACGCCTCCCCACTGTCCACTGCTGAAGGGAGGGTCGGCTCCATGCCCACCCCCATCTAGCAATGTCTCACTCCCTCTGGGATAGGCCTAAACCTCTTGACCAGGGTCTGGTTCTGAAATGTCCCCATCATCATGCCAAGGCTGGGAGAGAACCAGGTCCATCTCCATTTTTAAAGCTTCAAGTAAAACATATTTTTAAAAAATTAAGAAATACAAAAATGGACTACTAAAATTGGTTTATATTTTTCAGTGTTTAAATTAACAAAAGAAGTCCTCTTAACTTAAAAAAACAATATAATTGTGGTAGTCACAAGATCACTGGAAGATTTATAAACTAATAACTCAGAGTGCCTGAGAGTTAACAGGACCCAGTCAGTGTATCCTGTGAGTACAGAAGCCCCTCTGGACACAGTTGCGCAGATTTTGCTGAGGCCAACGAGGAATTACCAGAATGTGTGACTTGAGTCAAATGGCCCTCTAGGCCTCCCTGTGCTAGTCACTGCCACAGAGTAAGGGAGTTCTACTATTCCCAGGCAAGACTCCCGCAGGCCAACTCCCACTCTCCTCCACCCTTTCCATAAAATGTATCTTACAGATTAACATCAGTTCATTTCAAAAGTCAAAAATTTCAAAAAAAATTCTCTTTTGTCCCAAAAGCAAGAGGGATAAGGAAGAAGAGGGATAAGGAAGTAGATGTTATGGGAGGCCGTACGTGTCTGAGCCATTATATGTGCTATTTTATCGTTCTCACAGCTACCCTGGAATGCTGTAAGCATCATTCAACCTGTTTGTGCAGCAGTTAAGTCACTACTGCAAAGTCACATTGCACATCCAGGATGAGAGCCCAGAACCTTTGACTATAAAGCCTGCACTCTTTCCAGTCTCCGAGTCTGACCATGCCACGAAGCCACATGAAGCCCAGGAGGAGCCCAGGGGGCCTGGACAGGGGCCCAGGACAGCCCCTTTCATCCATGCCCCTGTGGTGCTGCAGCAAATTTTAACCTTTCTGGATCTTTTCAGTGTTTCCTGTTTCTTCTCCTGGCTGGCTTGCCCCCAACCCTGCTCATTGCTTATGGTACTTATTTTTCCATCCACAGCAAAACAATTCACATCAAGGTAATTGATGATGAGGCGTATGAGAAAAACAAGAATTACTTCATTGAGATGATGGGCCCCCGCATGGTGGATATGAGTTTTCAGAAAGGTGTAGTACCCTGTCCTGCACACTAACATTAACACTCTCCTCTCCTCTTCTGTTTCTTCATTTCTGCAATCTGTCTCCTTCTCCCCACTTTTCTTCTGTGTCTCTGATTCACTTCCCCTTGTTTCCTTTCTTGTTCTTTGTTCTCTTTCCACCTCTCCCTCCCCTCTGTCCTCTCTCTGCTCCCAGCTCTGTCCTAACACCTGCCAGCCTGTCACATGGTATCTGTGTGAGGAATGCTCAAGAGCCAGTGATATTTTTTGTGGGGCTGGGAAAAGGACATGAGGAAAAACAGAGAGAGGGAGAGAGAATGAGACAGACAGAGAGAGGAAGAGCCCTGAGGTATCATGTAGGAGGCTTTCTGCCTCCCCTGAACGGCATAGGACATGGGAGAGAAAAAGGCCCCGACACCAAGTGGTGGGGCAGCACTGGGAAACTGGCCCCGGATTCTCAGCACAGGTTTCCGTGGGGCAGCTATTCTCTGGGAGAGGCTTAGAGCCCCTGGACACTGAGAACCAGTGAATTTGGATTGGGCTCTATTTGTGGTTCATCCCATTCCCCAGAGTAGGCCTTAGGAGCCATCTTCTCTGTCAGATCCCTGCTATGAGGCTGTGTTTCTCTCCCTGACATTAATCCAGCTGAAAGTACCGGGGTTTGAGTTCCAGGTCTCGATCTAAGCTCTACCTACTGTACTCTGCCTTCCCTATGTAGACCATCTAGGTGTGGAGGCAGAGTCAGAGCGGTGGGAGAGAGAACTCTGATCTGAGGACACTTCCCCAAGAAATCATAGGGCTTCTCAGAAGGGATGGAGCCTTGCCTTCAATTTAAATGACTCCATACACTCCAGGCCTCCAATAGCTGAGTCAGAAGGTCCTCTGGAGGGCTCACTGCCGGTATTTGAGGCAGTGCTCCTTCCGTGGCTGAGCTGTCAATCATATCCCTCTAGGCCATGACCATGGTCACCAAGCACCCCGTGCCCACCCCACAGCAGAGTCCCTGCAGTGGCAAAACAGGTCAGGCTCGGCCAGCCTCGCATCTCACAGACAACTTCAAGCCTCCTGTCTGGGGCCTAGAGAGAAATGCCTAGAAAATGCTTCTTGACAATCCATGAACTTTGTCTTTTGTTCACTGAGCAAGGTGTATAAAAGCACACAAAAAAGTGCCAAAAATGAACCACACACACACACAGGAGACAAATGCACAGCAAGTCCTGTACCCGACAAACCACCTCAGGTCAGGCTACCACTCTGCAGACAGCACAGCTGAACACTTTCAGGCTGGAACAGGAGCATCAGAGGCTCTGATTCAGTATTTTATGCTATTGTTTGTTAGCACCTCTTTGCTCTTTGGAGAGCGTTTAGGTCCCAGGCCAAAAATAAAACAAGCAGAAAGTAACTATCATGGCTCACTTTGGGGACCTACTGACCCCACTGTGGTTCCATGAGGGGCGAGCGGAAGCTGCAGAGGGAGATCTAGGTCCACACGGCAACTTCTCCAGTGGCGGTGGGCCTGAGCCAGCCTCATGCCGCGCTTTGGAGGGGAAAGATTTTCCAGGAAACTTTGCTTCCCTGGAGGATTTGTTTTTCTTAAACAATATGCTTTGTTGAAATACCCTGAAATGAACAGAAACATCCATTACCATGTCCTCCAGACCCTTGATAATCAGTGATTGAGGATGCTGGCCTCGGGACACATCAGCTCTGCATGATAAGAGTCCAAAGGTGGTTTAGAATTTGATGATGTACATCATTTTCTTCACATTTTCCCAGGAGCACATCAGCTATAAACATTAAAGGAGTCTTATACTGTGGTTAAAACATATTTATTTTAGGTCCTGCCACAGAAGCCCTAAGAGGTAAAGAATGAGAAAAACAATAGCATTCTACCTTCCTTTCTCTCTCTCTCTCTCTTTTCCAGTCTTCATAACTACTTTCCTTTAAGCAGTGGGTATAGACACAGGAAGGGAAATAAGCCCCAGGCCAGGTTCTGTTGATGTAGTTCCTGTTGTGGAAGGGCCCTGGGTCACTCCCAGTGGCCAGTAGTTTACCTGCTGCTCAAGGAAATGGCAGTTACCATGTGACACCCTACGGAATGTGCTGCCCAACTCATTCCTACTAACCGTCAGCAGGATCTAAACCAGCTCCTCCCTGCCATCACCCTCCCTCTCCCTTCCCTCCCCTGCTGTCCCCTGGATCCCTTCCTTTGCCCACCGTTCCCTGACTCCTGGCTCCCTTTCCCTCTCCCGTGTAAGGACAACTGTGACCAAGGGGACAAGAAAAGCTAAGACCATTCTGATATGAGAACAATACAATCCACCTTAGTCCTGTCAAAAGCCACCACGGCAGGACTGGGCTGCCTGGGCCAAGAGTGATGTGCCATGACTTTAGAGGCTGTGCTCCAACTGACCAAGCAGTCTACCGACCCGGTCGACACACTCTCTCTCTTGTTGTCCCTACAGGAAAACCGTAAGGGTTAAAATAGTAGATGAGGAGGAATACGAAAGGCAAGAGAATTTCTTCATTGCCCTTGGTGAACCGAAATGGATGGAACGTGGAATATCAGGTGTGAGATTCTTAAAACAAACGAACAAAATGAAGCAGCAAAAGACAAAAAGAAAGGAAAAATGTAAAAAACTGAAAAGCAACAATCAAAATGCAACTGTATTTTTCTTCCCCCTTTTCTCCCTTTTCCCTCATTTCTCCTTTTGACCAGTGGATTTTTTTATTCTTTTCCCTCCTGTATTCTCGCTCTCACCCTGTTTCGGTATCATCTCTGCCTTCTTAGCCTTAGCTCATTTCCAAGTCCTCCTTTCCCACCTTCTGGGCAGCGCTGCAGCCTCAACTCCTCATTATCCTGATGGGTTACTTCCTTCCGCCTCATGGTCCAATCATACGATTGCCTGTGCCCCGCACTCTCCCCCACAGCCCACACACAGACACCAACCAAAACCTGTAAATGTGGGAACTCCTTGGTGGGTGGGGAGGAGAAGACAGAGAAAGGAATGTGATGCAATGCATGCCTGTGCTCCTCCCCTGCCTCCTTCCCCTCCCACCCCTCCCTCTGGAGCCTGGATTGAATGGGGGAGGGTCTGGGGTGGGGGGCCAAGTTGCAATGGTGCTTTGACAGTTTTCTGCTGCATTCCCCAACCTCCGGTGAGTGCTTGGTAGGTTACTCACGTGCAGAGTGGCCCATTGGCCCCTCTGCCCTTCAAGGAGGTAAGTGTTTTATCTGGGTGTTTCACAGTTGGATAGACCGTGGCATGGAAATGTATGCCCACTGTCAGAGGCCACAGCTTCTGAGAGCTCTCTGAGAGAGAGCTGGCTTCTGAGGTAGTCATGCAGTCTGAATCCTGAATTATTTTTTCCTCCCCTTGGCATTCCACCCCATCCCATTCTACCTCTGTGCCTAGCCCAAGGTAGGGTGCTTTATTTAGTCTACTTTAGGATGAGGCAATCCATAAAGCAGAAATTGAGTCTGCAAAAGGAGTCAGTAATTCTGGGCATGGAAATCTCCCTAGCCAGAGGGACCTGGAAAAGGACTGATATTTCCAGAGAGGATCCAGAGAATTGACTTAGGGGTTTTCCAACAGTAGAAGGGACTCTATGTGATGTAGTTGGTGTTGATCCCTGAGAAACAGGTTTTGGATGATTCACAGAAGCCTGCCTTTGCTTGGCATCTGCAAATGAGCACATCACCAGATCTCAAGGTAACCCTCATCCCACACCAGAGAAGAGGCCTCATCTCCTTTCCTCAGGACATGCATCTTGGAACACCTGCCAGGGTTTCATTCCTAAGGGACTGATTATGTTACAACAAAGGTAGATGTAAGGAAAGATTTCTTCCCTTGCAAAAAATGATTGGAAGCCACCACTTTGAAAGTTTTGGAGGAATATATTTGCGGATGGGTAAGGGTGGTCTTGGGAAATACCAAGAGAAGGAAATTCACATTCCCCTTTCAGGAAAGAGATGCTTCTGGGATCCTCATGGAGGATGGAACAGTGAGACTACTTGTTTGTTTGAACATAGTCACATGACAAAAAGCAGCATAAAGCCTTCCACTCAAGGACAGGCCTAAGATGTGGCAACTACACTCCCAAAGGCTCATCCATACATCTTCTTCTCAGACCCTCACCATTGATCAGTTGTCTTCTGGGGACTTTGTCTGCAGACCTAAGTTCTGTGCCCACACTGGTTTGGACATACCTGGTGTCCCAGAAGCAGAAGCCCTCTCCATCTTCCATTACTCATCCTCTCCTTGGCCACCTAGTAAGATGTTGCTATGAGGCTGACTGCCAAAGAGTGCTGGAAGAAAGAGGAAATCTCTAGGTCTTTTCTTCCCAAGTTGTGTTTCCATTTCTTCCAGTTCCTGCAACAGAGAATATTCTCAGAAATTGTCTCAACACCCACCCTATCTCATTCCCACCTCTCTTGTACATCTTCATGATTGGTTGGACACAGAAGACAACCAACACCATTATGAACTAGCTTTATCAATTTCCACAGTCCCAGCTATTTAGGTGTAAATGAAAACAACACAAGGGATCACATAGGGAAGCTGGAAAGAATGCAGTGGCTCAAGACAAGAATAACGGTTTGGAAGTCCACCATGACTTTATTCCACCAGTAAAGAGGCTCTTCTTTTCCTCCTCCCCATTAAGCTCCTATCAACAGTAAGACAGAGAGTCACCTAAGAGAAACCTTGTGCTCTTCAAGAGACTTGGCCAAACAAATGCCTATGGCTACTCCCCGCTGGAGGACCACTTTTTCTGCACTGGATTCTCTGTCCAAGGATATGTCGGCAAAGCCCTGGTTGATCCTAGTCCTGGGGGAGGGAGCAAGAGAGAAGACAAGGATTTCATCCAGCTATGGGTCTGATATGCCCCCAGATCTTCCCAGTTACCAAGATGCCAAGATGAAAGTTGTCAATAGAAAATGTATCAGTTTCCTGGCCCCCTGTTCTATTGTCTATAGGGTTAATTTCCAGTTTCTTCAGATATTCCCGTATTCTGGCATCAGACCATAAGGTGAAAGGTCATGAAATGTGATTGTCTAGACTCAGAATCAAATGAAAACATCTGATTTTCAGAATTCCCTGCCATTCTTGGAGTGAGAAACAGTACAGTGGAAATTGCTTTTCATTATCACTACTGCACAAAAGAGTCTTAGCCATTCAGAACAGCACAGTCTCTGCCATGGTCAAAAATGACAATCACATTCCAAAAAAAATAAGGGACTGGAGATTCTATTCTCAGCAAACAGACTTCAGAGGTGAGAATAAATGCTCTGCACAAGCTGGGGGAGGGGAAAAGAGAGAATGAATAGGAAACATGGTTACTTTGGAATAGAGTAAGCCCTGGAGTCTAGAGGTGGACATCAGAGAGTGACACTGAGCGGCATAGTCAAGGCTGTTGGGCCTGGGCCTGGACATCAGAAGCCTCAGGCACAAAAGGAGAGCACTGTCCCCCAAGAATGTGGCCTGTTGTGCCTCCTCTTATCAACGGGCTCATCTGACAAGCTGCCCAGATGCTTCCAATGAGACACAGAGCTACACTGTTTCCTGCTTGTCCCTGGGATGTCTAAGCAGGGATAAATGACTTTCACCTGATCCTGGGAATCAATACAGGGGAAAGTTCAGCTCCAGCTTCTCTCAATCATCAGCAGCAGGAAAAACACCCTGGAGGCATTGTGTCGCTCAGTATTGGCCCACCTGGATTAGTGGCCCATTTGTAAGCCTCAGATTCATGTAGACAGTGAGCAACGAATGGTGTGATTCCAGCTGACTGCAAACCCTCTCACTGTGCTAGGGATGATCCTGGTGTTGGTAAGGATGTCTCAGTGAAAAACAGGGCAGCGGGGACCTTTCTGGAAGAACTGCCCCTTGTCTGGCCTACCTGGATACACTGCTGTGTTCAAGTTTCTGGTCTCCTCTGGAATTTGGGAATCAGGAAGGGCTCTTCCATGCAGATCCATAGAAGGAGCAGAATGAATAAGCTCTCTTGCTATCTATTTATCATCTATCCTCCATCTATCATCTCAATATAGTAAGGAGATCTGTTGACCCATTACTCCTCAGAATCCCATATGGGAGAAACCAGAAAAAGTTAACTGCTGTTTGCCCTGTTTATATACTGTAAAATTCTAGATCCACATGTGTCTTCAGTGGTTGTAAATATGGAATGATGGATCACAGGCTTGAATTGCATTCCTAGAGATTTTTTAAAAGAAACAATTCACAGTTACCATCCCAACTCTTCCTCAGTAATCTCCATCAGTCACCATCTGCAGCAGGAGCATGTGGCAGGATGTTCTTAGACTTTTATTTGACAAGAGCCAGGGATGAGGAGCTATGTCACAAGAATTTTTATTTTAGGACCTTGACATCTAAGAGAGTTTGGCATAAGTACAAATTCAGGGACTAGGGACGACCTGTGTTGGGGATGTCTAACTCAGCTTCCCAGTCCATGTAGGGACTTTGTATTTGTCATCTCCCATCTATAAATAGCTTTCAGTCTTACAATCTCTCTGATCTAGAATATCTGGACTCTGATTTAGCCTGTCACTTCTGCAACAGGACGACCACCATCCACAGGTGCAGTAGCATAGGATATTTGAAAAATACAATTGTTGAAATTGGTGGCAAACAACAAACCTTTGTTGAACACCTACTAGTTGCAGTGGCTTTGCTAGGCACAGGTGATACAAAATGGTAGGAGTCAATGGTCCTAGGCTCCAAGCTATATCTGTAAAAAGATAAGCCATTCAAGGAAAACATTCTGCAGACCTTTCCTTTTCACCAGGTCATTCTTTTAGGGGAACTCAACGTTCTGGCCAAGAAGGTAGCTGGGAAGTCATTTGTGGCCATAGAACTGTTATGGGCACTAGGTAGCTGAGCATGATCTGATTAGGGATAGAAAATATAGGACTGACCACTGAGCACTCTTCCCCTCTTGTTCTCCATTACCCAGTGCCCTGAGTTCCTATTCAAGTCCCCGGGTCAGTTTCACCACTGATAAGCCAGCTAGTCTGGCAAGATTGCAGCCTATACAGTTTTCAAGGTAACTGGATTCCACTCCTTTACAGAATGGATGTGATAACCTGATTCCTTAGAAGATTACAGATAACCACCTCTGTCTATGCTCCACCCCTTTAGTTCTCTCATCCTCATTCGTCTATCCATAGCCCTCGGATTTGTAGGGAAGGCATGGGAAAAACTTAACAGCTGCAGGGCCCTGGTCTCAGCAGTCTCCCTGGTGGCTCCCACCTCTGCCGCTCCTGCGCATGCTCCAAATGCTGCCTTTTGCATGTGGCTGCAGAGCTCTCACCTACTAAGGCCACAGCTGTCCTCATGCTGCTGCAAGCACAAAGCCTGGGGACACTTTCAAGATGGGACCTTAATGCTCTTTCCTTTTCTTTCTTCCCTTTTCTGGTGTCCATTTGCAAACAGCGCTCCTGTTGTCTCCAGGTAAGAGGTGTCTTGCCCCCTCTTTTCTACTTCTTACCTGTGCCATTACTAGTTTAGGACCAATGTCTTTTGATTTACTTAATAGGAACTGTGAGCTCAAGTTTACCTGACAAGTTCTCCTAAAGTCTGGGAGATTTATTTCCCCACTTGAAGTAATGTTGAGGAAGTAGACAATTCTTTGAGCACTGTTTCTGTGAGTGGGTCTAAGTTAAGGCAGAATTGGTCCTCCCTGGGACCAGGAAGAGAATAGAAATTCATCAAAGAGATGGTGGGTCATAGACTTCTCCTGAGTCTTAATTCATTGTCTTCTCATGCGGTGGGGCAAGAGAGGGTGGGAGTCAGAGCAGAATGTCCTGATAGGATCATGATGGGATTTCAAAGAAAATGCTTGGATCTTGAGGGATCCAGGGAAAAATAATCAGAAGCTGCTGTGAAAACATGAAAAGCAATTTTTAACAAATCTGGAACTTTACTGATCCTGGATATCTTCCATCTCATCACAGCTGAGACCTAAATTGCTAGAACTTTGGTTCATGTGTTGCTGACCCTTGAAGTCACGTGTACCATCAACAACAAGAAAAATTAGGGTATTATAGGGGAAGTGGGGGGAGAAGGAGGCAATTACCCAGTTGCAAATGGAAATTCTGGAGAATTTGTCTTGGAGATTTTCTTATACAGAATCTATCTCCTGTTGTAGGACCTACACCAACTTTGAGAGTATGTTTGCATCAGTGAAATCAAATCATAAACAAATTCTAGTTTTGTGGACAGATAAGAAAGTATTTCAAACATCTCAGCAATACCATAATTGTTGGCGCAGGCAGACTGAGCTATATAAGACATCTCAATACATATTAAAATCACATGTGTCATTTCATCAATTCTTCAAACATATAAAAATTTTAAGGTTATTTGAGAGGCAACACATCTTATAGAACTCATTGGTACTCAAAGTCACCTATAGGCTACCCCCTGGGTTTGAGAAGGGAAAGTGTATATAGTATGGACATTTACAACCTTGGAGCCATAAACAAAAATAAAAAATGTGGGCAAATCCCTATACTTTTCCTTTATGAAATATTACTCTATACCAACAGGATAAGGACTACCCCCAACCCCATATATTCCAGTGCTTTCCCAGGGTAGTAATATCATAGCCTTGGGTATTCTTTCTCCACTTCACTCATCTTCTTGCATGAGAAGTTATTTGGGCTTCTTTGTTCCAACTCTTGCCTCTACCCACTACCAACCACACACATATACACAAAACAAAGATTGTGATTCAATATAAAGCTTCTCTATACTCTTAACATATTTGCACAAATGCCAATAGAAGCTAAAATATGAAAAGGAAGTATTACATTCCAGATTTTTCACTCTGTAAACCTTTGATGTGGGAGTCCTTGGTTAGACTTTAAATTCACTGGAAATCTCAAATCCTTGTTTGAATTTCCCTGGATGGACAGGTGAACATGATTAACAATGCCTGGCAGTGAAAGATGGAGAGTAAATATGTTCATTCTGAGCTACACCAGGTACCTGGGAGTGAGAGCAGTGACTGCATCACCCCACTCTTTTTGAGGATGCTTGGGGAGCATTCATAGAAATCTATTCTTGTCTGGCCTGGCAAGCTCTTTGTTCTTCCAATATTTGTTCAACCTTCCATCCTATTCATATTCTCTCTTTCTCTTTATTTCTTTCTGTTCATCTCTCTCTCTGTCTTTCTCTCTTTTTCCTTCCTCTCCTCCTTTTCCTAGATCTCAGAGTGTTTAGTCAGTCTGCATATCAGGTTCACCTGTCATTTATTCTTCTTATTTGAAATCCTGAGTCACTAACATAAAAAACTGATCAGAATCGTTATGGTGTTTCAGGTTTGAGACATCACTTTCTCAAGAAATTAACTCAATATGAATGTAAAGGGGTGATCATTATAAAAATAGAAAAGGCAGGAGTTTCTACCAAACCAAGACACTAAATAAGACTTGATTTAAAGGCATGTGAATCAATCAATTAACAGAAATATATGGAGTACCTCTGTGGGGCTGTGGGAGATCCAAAGATAGAGAATTGGTTTTTTGTCAAAGAGATTTTTGCAGAAAACTAGATGGCAAAACTTACTGTCACCACAGGGGTAGACAGGTCAGTAGGTAGATCAATATTCTGCTAGATATAGTGCTAGAGTGATAGCTAGATAAGGGCTAGACAGGTACATTTATACGTCACTGGAGAACTCATTACATTGGTATAAAGTTCTTGTGGCACATGTAAAGTATGATATGGGAAAATTGGGAAGGGAGGGATAGAATAGTATTGTCACTGCTAGGATAAGCATTATAATATGGTGCTAAAACCTGCAAGTAGAAGAGAAGAGTACCCATGCTTTTAAGCAGTCTACACATCTTTTTCCAAGGGCTTTTTCTCAGAGTGGTTTACAGTCTGACTTCTAGGACTGATGACCTCATATCCAGAACTCTGCCCAGATTTGCCTTCCTAATTAACTAATAAGAGACTTGGAATCGATGGATTAATGATTTCAGGCTACTAGGGGGTATCTGCTTACTTAGAAATATGCAGATGGACATTGATCCTCGAGAAATAACTGTTTCTGAAAGCAGTCATCAATGCTAGAAGGAGGACAGTACCACGGACAGCTCCCAAACATTTTTGGGATTGCCTTGTTTGCTCCCAAGTTCTGAATAAAATAGCCACCTCAGGAATCCTCTGCATACTCTTACCGTCTTCATTCAGGAAAACCAGAAAATCCTCACATAAAACAGACTCATTGCTTGGTAACTTCCACCTTTGGCTTACAGTCTTCCCAGTGAATCCCTTTCCTTTCAACCTCAAGAGCTTAAGTCTCATACCTCCCCATGCTTCACCAGTTCCCAGGATAGAGGGAAAAGAAGACCTTCTTGGCCTCCAACCCATTTTGTTCTTGAGATTATCCAAGGAAGAGAGGATTCCCCTAGGAGATTTCACTATGTGGAATGAAAGCAATTAAGGAGCCAAATAAAAGAATTAATTGCATGTAAGAACATGGACTTGAATGGAAAGATATTTAAATGAACTCTGAAAGAAATAGGCTGCCAAGAACAATTTTATAATCAGAGGAGAATAAAAAGATTCGATCTCTATTTCACTCTAATCCAGAAAACATGTCTTCATGGTGAAATGGTCTTAAAATGGACTCATCAGTTGATGTGGAAAAAATTTCTAACTCGTTCAACATGAGAAGGGACCACTGGAACATGAGTGAAGTTGCTGAGGGACACAGGGGGATGCCTCACAAGAAAATAAAGGAAGAGCTTTCTTCTGTTTTGTTTTTGAACAAGCATTAGTGTTTTAGAAGAAATGTGCCTGATTCCTATGGAAATCCTGGGGATCTTTCATTGTGAAACCATGAAGTGTTTTAGGAAACCTTCCAAGTTTCTCACTGTGAGGATAACATTCACTTGCATGAAAAATAGATATTCCTGGAAACATCCTTCCTTTCTCCTCTACAGAGGGGATGGATGGTCCCAACAGTGTTGGAAACAGATGTTAATGTGAACCAGTAGACATTCCCTTTGGATTAAAATGTGTTTATGACCCCCAAGAACTCTTACATGAAGTAGTTAAACAAACAGGCCCAACAGTTCAAAATTATTAAAGGTCAGGAGATTTATTTGGCCTTTGTTCCCAACTCTCCAATATCTCACCAAATGACTTGGGAACCTCAGCTGGTCTGTTCCCAGAAGGTCTTTGAGTCAGGTTGCCTTTCCAAGTATAAACTGGAAAGAGGAATGCTTACCCCAGGCCTGCAAGGACCATAGTCTGATGGTCATAAAATGTTCAGCACTTTTTGGAAAGTGGCTCTAAAAAAAATACACAAAATCCCCATTCTCAAGAGCCTTTTGTTTTGTGCCCACTGCCCATTCCTATTACTCTGAGCTTTAGACTTCTAGGGGATAGCAAATGTGCTAAATTAAAGTTAGTCTGATTTTGTTTTGTTGCAGAGGTGACAGACAGGAAGCTGACTGTGGAGGAAGAGGAAGCCAAGAGGATAGCAGAAATGGGAAAGCCAGTATTGGGTGAACACCCCAAACTAGAGGTCATCATTGAAGAGTCCTATGAGTTCAAGGTCAGGCCATAAGTGAGATCTAATTGAATAATAGAGTGATGGGGTGGGAAATAGAAGACCTAGAGTTGTGTTTCAATGTCACCACTAAATATGTGACATTGAAACTGAACAAATCACTTACCCACCCTAGTCTCGGTTTCCCCAATTGTAACATGGAATGAGTAGTGCTGGCCATTCATATCCTAGGAATACTGTGAGGAAACATAACATAGCATATGGAATGACTGGGCTATAAAGCCCTTATGTATCATCACTATTGTTTAGCTGTATTTTTACGGCAAAGATAGTAAATTTCACTACTCCAGAGCATGGTTTATTGACACCATCACCATTATTCTCTATTGTATTACTCTAAACATCCAATGTCAGCAGTTGCAACCAAAGAAAAGAAAAATAGAAGGATTTTCCCAGAAGATATCACCCGAGGCCATTCATGCATAACTTTCAGAACTCACGCAGAGACCCCAGGAATGCAGGGCATCTCTCATTCCCTCAAATCACCAGGCTCCTCAATGGTTCTCAGCATTCTAACCTCATGATTCCAAGTTTTCATCTTCCTGACAGAGTACGGTGGACAAACTGATCAAGAAGACAAACCTGGCCTTGGTTGTGGGGACCCATTCATGGAGGGACCAGTTCATGGAGGCCATCACTGTCAGTGCAGGTAAGAGGGCCTCAGGTGGGCACAGGCCTTGCTGGGAGAAGCAGGCAAGACTGGAAAGGGAAGACCACACAATTTCTGTGTCCAGTCTTCCCAGCTCTAGTCCTAGGTGTTTGCCTATTTTACTGGGTTACTTTGGAAAAGAATCAGGGGGTAACTAAAAGAGCATGGCTATCTCTGCTTTCAAATCCTGGTGCTACTGTGTGAACTGGGACAAGTAATTCTCTCTGTGCCTTCATTTCCTCATCCAAAAAGGGAACTGTAGCTACTTCTCTCAGCAAAGCAAGTAGAAAGGTACCAAACATGAACTCAATATAGTCTGGTTTCTGTCATTCTTTCTTCTCATTAATGTGGTCCTCTTTTAAATCAGAATGTGGGGCTATTCTGATTTAGAGGTGTGGGAGTCTGGAGTTTACAAAATCTTTGCATTGACTCCCTGGCAAACCTCTGCCCTGGATGATTGTGAACCTCCCCTTCAGCATTTGTCGACAGGTTCCCTCAGTAGTGACACAGCTCATGTGCCAGAGGCCTACAGACGTGTTTCCAAGGGGATGGGACGGGTCTCACCACCACACCCTGTACTGCTTCTCAGCACCACCGAGGCCTGTTTGCACTGCCAAGCACTACTGGCCTTGTCTCTTTTCATGAGACTTTGCTGTCATAGCAACCCACAGGGTCACATCCCTGAGGCCCCTGAGCCAGAGCAAAAGTCCAGCCAGGCAGCTGTTGCCCCACTTTCCCATCGCCTGCTTCAGATACTTCCTGTTGTCATCCCTCTGATGACCCCACTTTGCTCCTAAAGACACAGTAAGCAGAATGTAGGCCACATAATCTAAACCCACCCCCCCCTTTTTCAAATAAAGGACTGAGGTTCAGAAACAAGAAGGGATTTACCCCAGCTTCCAGGTTCTCCTCACGGCAAGCTGCAGTTGGAGCCCAAGTGTCCTGACTCCGGTTCTTTCAAAACACAGCTTCCTCTAGTGTGTCAAGACATTACAGAGGTTGCCCTTGAAAGATGCCAGAGGGCCTCATCACATCCTCTCCTCCCAGACTGACAAATGAGCACCTCTGCCCAATTTTCTGGCAAGGGCAAACGGGGCCCATCCCTGCTCAGTCCCAGGGGCTCTTTGGAGGATGGCACTGGCTCTCTGGTCTGCCGCATGATGTGGAATGACAGCCACCCCTCTGGGGACAGATAATGGCCACAGCCACGAGGTTACTGCAGCAGTCATGTCAGGAAAATGGGAGAGAAGCTCCACCGGTGCCCAATGAAGAATGGGCACACCACTGACTTAGCTTTTCTTCACCTAGGCAACCACACGCCACCTGCTCTGACCTTCTCTTCTGCCCTCTGCTGCCTCATCCCTTTTGAGTTCTTCTACCCTAGCTCTTCATCTCTTTCTCTCTTCTTTCCTTATTTCCCTGTCCTCACTCCCCTACTCTCCCAATTCAAGTTGACCAGTGGGACACACCATCACGGTTCCCCTTTCCCAGCTGTCCTCTGGTGCTGGCCTGGACCAGCTGCCCAGGAGAGGGCTGGAGTCTCCTTCCAGTGGATGATGCTCATGAGGTATGCTGGCTTAGACTTTCTCATAAATGGGTATCTGACCTTGCTGCCCTTTTCTGGGCCTATTTATCTTGTCTCCAGCAGGGGACGAGGATGAGGATGAGTCAGGCGAGGAGAGGCTGCCTTCCTGCCTTGACTATGTCATGCACTTTCTGACGGTCTTCTGGAAGGTGCTGTTTGCCTGTGTGCCCCCCACAGAGTACTGCCGTGGCTGGGCCTGCTTCGTCGTCTCCATTCTGATCATTGGCATGCTCACGGCCGTCATCGGGGACCTGGCCTCCCACTTCGGCTGCACCATTGGCCTCAAGGACTCTGTCACAGCTGTTGTTTTTGTGGCATTTGGCACCTCTGTGCCAGGTGAGTATGAGGTTGCATGGGTTTGCAAAGAGGCTATTACCAGGTTCAAGTGCCCCCTACACTTTTCTTCATTATCTTCCTTACCATCTCAGATCTGAGCTTAACAGAGCCTCTGCCCCTAAGGTGGAGAAAGCCAATCAAAGGGACTAATAATAGCACTAATGATAGCTAACGTTTCTTGAGCCATTTGGATGTGTCAGACACTATGTATGCTAAGCAATTTAGATGTTTTATGCCTGTAATGCTCACCAAAACCCTATTTAATAAGAACAGTTATTATCCATCCCCACTTGACAGATGAGGAAACTGAGGCCCACAGAGGGTAAGTTGACTGCCCGAGTAAGTGGTCCGATTTCTTAACCTCCACATTTTACAAACAGGCCACAAGCTATGCAATTGCAGGAACACAGACATTGTTCTCCTTCCATTTCTCTCTGGCAGTCTGAGAGGCTAGAGATTGCCTGCTTATGCCCCAGTAGAAATGCTCACAAGCTTTCTTGGCCTCTGCTTTAGAAGGACACCTACAAGCACAAAGTGCCTCCCAACAGGATGGGAGAAGGAAGCTTAGTGAGCTCTTGTCTTTTCGTATGATGAATTACATATTCCTTTTTTTTTTTCTTATGAACTCCTAAAAACAAACAGGGACAGGCATTAATTTATTCATTCATTCAACAAATATTCACTGAGCCTGATACGGTCTTGGGCTGGTTACTGGGGCTAGAGTGGGAGGCAGGACAGACATGCTTCCCTATCAACATGGAGTTTATAATCTAGTGATGGAGACTTCCCCCAACTACTGTAATTAAAATCATCTCAATAAGTTTCATGAATAAAAAGTACAAATGCTGCGCAACTACAAAACGGGGGGCCTGAGCTAGGCTGGGTCAGGGGTGGCTTCCAAGAGAGGTTGTATGTAAGCTGGGCTAGAGTGACAAGTAGCAGTTAGCAGGCAGGAGGGGCTGCATTAGCTCAGGTTCCTCGCTTAGTTCAGTTGGAGTCTCCAGGGTGTCTGAACCCTGAACTCCTGCCAGGGACCTGGCCTTCCCACTGTTGCAGGAAGAGAGAGCATTTTCCTATAAGAGGATGAGGCTGAATCTCATCAAACAGGACTCTGTGGACTGGATCCAGGGAAACCCTTCCTGGACCAGGAACACAAGTCCTTCTGGCAAGTATCTGAATCTATATCACACTCTAGGAAAAACTCTTCCCCCAAACCCAGCATGGATGGTGGGATTATTTGCATACTAGTGATGCAAGATGTTAGGCTATCATGGAAATGTGCTGGGTGGTAGGAAAATAGATGGATGGTTCAGTGAAAGCTTTGTGGAGGAGATGCCCTGTGATCTCTGTTCTCTAGACCTCAAGGGGCTGGAACTATCAAAGGGAAAGGAGCAGATATGGAGAAGAGAAATAGACATAGGGAGCAATTGCAGAGGATCAGAGGCAAAAATCAAGGTCATAGGTAAGAAAAGGGAAGAGATTTTTCCATAGGAAATCTGAGAAAATTGGCAACAAGGAAGCAAGCCAGGACAAGCAAGGCAGGGAGAGAGCTTGGGGCACCTCCAAGTCCTTGCAAATGGTCCGGGGAGCAGCTGGCAGATTAGGGGCTTGAAGGTTACGCTATGATCCACTCAGCTGACTTTGTGACTTTGAAACTCTTTGGATGTAAAGTGATGGTATGCAAAGGGTCCTTACATGAGGGTTTTAGGGGCAAATCTTTGGCTAACTTCCCATGAGACCCTGGGCAGATTCCTTGAGCCTTATTTTCCTTACCTATGAAATAAAAGGGTGCCTAGATGTCCCTGACAATCCTTCCAGTGCCTATGATCCATGCCAACATCTAAAGTCAAACAGCCTGCATGGCCCTGTGCTCCATATACTAACTGCAAAGGTAGAGCCCAGTGTTCCTTGAGCCCACAGCTTACCTTAGGAGCCCTGACTGTGGTTCCCCAGTGAGTGCTCTGTCTCTGTGACTCCAGCACCGGGCACAATGCTGAGCTGGGGAGCATTGTGCAATAATTGTCCATGCTACCTGAGTGAATGCCCTCTCACCTGAGTGAATGCCCCATGTGACAGGTACAATCAGGCATCTACTTTAAGCAGCTTCCCATAATGTCAAGGTTCCCTGGGGAGATATTATGGGATAGCAAACTCCCCTTACTGAAGAAATAGTCAGGAGGGAATAACAAACACACTTGGTAAATATCAGGACCAGTAAAGCCCTTAGGAATCTTTCAGACTCCAGAACAGCAGAAGGGGAGCAGGAAGCCCCAGAGAAGAGAGGTGACTTGTCCAAGGCCACACAGCTGTTGCTGGCTGAGCTGGGGGTAGCTGCTAAGCACCTGCCTCTCATTCCTGGGCTCAGCCTGCCGGCCTGAGCTTCCTTTCAGACATATTCAAAAGTAGGCCCTCCACGTCTAGGCCTCTGTCCAGCTCTCATCTGTCTCTGCACTTTTCCAGACACATTTGCCAGCAAGGCTGCTGCCATCCAGGACGTGTACGCAGACGCCTCCATTGGCAACGTCACGGGCAGCAACGCTGTCAACGTCTTCCTGGGCATTGGCTTGGCCTGGTCCGTGGCCGCCATCTACTGGGCCCTGCAGGGACAGGAGTTCCACGTGTCCGCCGGCACCCTGGCTTTCTCCGTCACCCTCTTCACCATCTTCGCATTCGTCTGCATCAGCGTGCTCTTGTACCGCCGGCGGCCGCACCTGGGCGGGGAGCTCGGGGGCCCTCGTGGCTGCAAGCTTGCCACCACGTGGCTCTTTGTGAGCCTGTGGCTCCTCTACATACTCTTCGCCACGCTGGAGGCCTATTGCTACATCAAGGGGTTCTGAGCATCAGAACACAGCCTCCGCGGGGCAGGCTTAGGACTTCTCCTAAGAGAAGGGCCCTTCCCCAGCAGGGACCGTTCCAGGGTGAGCAGCCCTGGAGAGGCAGCACCAGGATCCAAGCCCCGGGAACCTCACCTGCCCAGGCCCTGGCAGTGAGCTGAAGGGGCAGCGTCTCACCCAGTCACACGGAATGGAGGAGCACCCACTTTACAGGTCTTTAATTCAATGCAAACCAACAGCAGCACCAAATCAACCTCCACCCCACCTTCCCGCCCATGTCCTTGGCCACGTTCTCTTCCACCTCCGAGTATTCCTCTGCTTCTCCTCCCCTTGGAGGCAGGGTGTCTCTTGTCTGTCAGATGTGGTCCATCACTGTCCTCTCTCTCAGCTGGGGAGGCGTGAACATGGCTCACACCCACGGGGCCGGTTTGGGGTTCTCTTCTCATCGTAATCATAATTGTGGTGGCTTCTGTTTCTCCCTCTGGTTCTGGTCATTGCTTGTCTTCTTTTCTTTCTGAAGTCAGTGACAAAGGTGCTGTGAAAGATCTTAAGGTCTGAGCCGACAGACAGGCATGAATTTTCAGGCACACGCTCTCCCACTTTCCCTGGGTACCAGCTACCTCTCAGCTCCACTGAGGACTTGTCCCCGTGTCTTTTTTTTTCTTTTCTCAAATCTTGAGAGGATTGCTGGCGTTTGGGTGTAAGTAAGCTTGCACACCCATGCAGAGCGATAAAGCATGGGGGCTGTGGCTGGAGCAGGAGGAGCTGTATATGCTTATGTTTAAAACAAAAAGTTCTTGTCCTCTTCCCTGTCCAAGCCTTTCAGATTCTGTCCATCTCACATGTCAATGTCTGTATGTTTTTCCTTCTGTGGGAAGACCCACCAAGTGGGAGATACGAGACAAAAATAGGAGTGGTATGTGATGCCCAAGGGCTGCTGGGGAAACAAGAGGGTCGATTCTTTCTTGGGGAGCTTTTGCTTCATATCTGAGGCAGGAGAGAAGAGATGCCCACCTGGTGAGCTCTCCAAGAGGAAAGATTATATTTAAAATGCCAGTGCTTCTGAGGAATGTTGGCTTCACTACCCCTCACTCTCTGATGCACCCCACTAAGAAGTCTGACTATGTTTCTTGAGGTAATACCAAAATGGAGAAGTTTGGAAGAAAACAAGGGGCCCGTTCTCCTCTCCTGGACCCTCAGGTCTTCACAATATAGGAGCTGGAATTCCTCATCTCTCCCACATTCCTGCTTGTTTTTAAACCTCACGAAGCTCTTTTTCCAGCCTGTGGGCTATTTCTTGCCCCAGTAAGAGGAATCTTAATTGTTATAATCCCACGGAGCCTGGTTTATAGAGAAATTGCTGTGGCCTACAGACCTTTTCCCAACAAATTTTGGAAGGACCTGGCTTTAAAACACACACACACACACACACACACACACACACACACACACACACACACGCACACGCACACACACACAAACACACATATGAAAATCACCACAAAACTGCCCACAGATCTTTAGGCTTTTCTGCATTGACATAAATACATTTTCTAAGGGGAAAAAAAAGAAATAAAAAAAAAAATACCTGTTTAATTTTAAACACATTTTTTAAGAAAAAAAAATAACTAAAAAAGAAACAGTGCTCATGTCATAAGCTATGTTGACAGTTGCCAGTGGAAATGTTGGGTTGGTTTAAAAAAAAATAAAAGCTATACTTATATCTCTCTAAATACAGCTTGCTTCTCACCATGTTTCTTCAGGAAAAGGTCCAGGGGGCTACCTTTAGTTTCTTCTGGAGCAGATGTGGTTGAAGTGAAGGTGTTGTCTCTTATTTGTATCTCCTATTTGCTTCTGTCCCCTCCTCAGATGCCAGTGTGCCAAACCCAGTATTTTTAAGGTAAAAAAATACTTCAGGGAAAGGCCACCTGTTAAATGTGGACCTTAAGACACTGAGGACATAAGCAAGAGAGCCGTGAATGTAAAGGGAAAGAGCTTTTAGTAGAAAGGTAAGGCGGACGGTCATCCGGCCAGGCAGGCCATGTCCTGCGTTTATTACCAACAGGCATAGTCATCCATGTGTTTACTCATCATACACTCAGCGAGGCTATTTTGAACACCCTCTATGCATTGAGCTACATTCTGGTGATACAACAAACAGTAAGATCTAGTTCCTGATCTCAAGAAACTCACAGTCCAGAGGGGAAGGTAAAACATCTTTTAAGGAAAGCTCTTTTGGTTGCAAGGAATAGAAATCCACTGAATTAGTTTAAGAAAAGGAGGAGGGCGATCTGCAAAGGCCTGGTGGAGACCTTCGGTGGAACCCAAGGCAGGAGGCACGGCAGGCGGCGAGAGGATCCTGAAGGCCCCAGGAGCCCAGGCTGCTGCCCCCTCAAACCTCAGGGTCTCCCCAGTCCTCACTTCCCTCTCCCTTAGAGCCCGGCCCCTTCCTGTGCCTCCCAGGGTGACTCCTGGGCTTTGCCTGTCCTACACATGGCCCAGCACAGCCACCAGTCTCAACTGCATCATGACCTCCTAGCTCCGCTCCCACAATGAACTGCACATCCCTCTTTTTCTCGATTGCAAATTCTCAATGGAGAGAATGTGGCCAACCCCCAGCCCCAAGGGCCAGCCGCCAAGGCAGAGTCCTTGTGGAAGGCTGTGTCATGGTGGCTGGGTGTTTGTTGACTGGCTGGTTTGTGTCAGGTGTCCACTCCTGGGCTGAACAACAGGTAAGGAGAAGGGGGGTGGCAACATTATACATCCTACAGCCCTTTCATAAAGCTACGTGATGGTAAGGAGCCTACGAAGCAAATGGACCACCAAGTTGCCAATAAAAATAACAGTTCTGTGCCATGAGTGCTTTAAGAATGGCATCAGCAGAGTACCATGGGAACCCCTACCTCAGCCTGGAAGAACTGGGGATGACTTCATGGAGGATGTAGCATTTAAATATGATCTTGAAGGAAAAACAAGGAGATTTCCTTGGTGAGGGGAAGGGGTATTAAGGACAGAGAGAATGAAACAGTATGCTCAAAGGCGCAGGAAATGACAGAGTTGTGGAATAACACTAGTGGGCACAGCTAGAGTATAGAGCTCAAGGGGACACAGGACAGCACCAAAAAAGCAGGCAAGGAGAAACGTTTGGCTGAAAAGCTCATTCAGTGTTTTTCTTCAGCCATTATGTCGAAAATTAAAAATCCTCTTTAGCCAATTAAATGATAGATGCAAAATCGTAAGTCCATTCGTACCCATCTCTCCCCATTTTTGAGTCATTTCTGGGTCATCCAGATGTCAGGCTTTGCCAAGAGAGAAGCTGGGATGAGCCACAGAGGAGTGAGCAGGAGGGCTGAGGAGAAGAGTCTGGGAATCTGAAGACCTGGGTATTAGTCTGGATGCCACTGCTAATTAGTTCTGTGGACGGGCACCGCGCCATCATGTCTCTGCATCTGTTTCCGGAACTACAAATGAGTTTAATAGATGGCCTCAGAAACCCATTACTTCCAGCTTTAACTCTGGGATTCTGGAACACTTACACAGAAGTGGTGTGTGTGACCAAACTTCCGTCAACCTTATCTGACCACCCAGCACAGCTGTCCTTTTGCAGCTCCTCGGCCCTGTGGCGTGTGGATTAGTCAGTGTGAAAAAGCCCTCACCAGTCACTGTGCAGGTTCACTTCCAGCACTTTCTACTGACTGAGCCACAGCATTCCTAGCCCCTTGACTCATTTGTTAGAGTAATGTTAGCTTCTGTAATAAATAAACCCCAATGTTTCAGTGACTTAGCAAAACTTAGCAAAACGAAAAGTGTCTTTCGCATGCAGTAACCCAGTGAGGATGTTTCTCGTCAGCAGATGGCTTTCTTCCACACGATTCCGGAACTTGGTTTCCTTCCATTTTGCGGTTGTGCCACTCTTTGGGGCCTCGGAGTCCTCTTCCTCCAGTGGGAGGTAGGAAGAAAATGAAAGAAGGTGCACACACTTCTAACTGCTGTGGCTCTGAAGGGATACTTTCGCTCATATTCCACTAGTAAAAGTAGAATCACTCGCTTTCTGGGACCAGGTAACTCCCCATCATTAATTGTAATTAGACTTCTCAGTCCACCTTTACTTGGGAATCACTTTAACTCACCCAAATGCAGAAGGGATTGGGAAATATCATCCTGGCTGGGAAGCCACTTACTTCCCAGTGAACATTTTTGGAATAGGATGAATATTTTTGGAATATGTGCCTCAGCTGCAACCTGTCTGTGACTAAAGATAGATATTTTAAGTATAAGTGGCCAAGTGCAATCTGATCTATCTATGTGGAGTTTTATGATTTACAAAAAGCCCTTCATATACATACGTGTGTTTGAGTGGGATAAAAACCACAAAAATCAGATACTCTTCTCATTTTATCTATGAAGTTCCTAGAGGTTAAATGATTGCCCAGGAGTACACAGTCAGAGGCAGGACACAACACAAATCTTCTGATCCCAAATTTAAGCTCTTCCCATAATATCATGGCCTCCCCGTGACAAACACCAGAACAAAGAATGAGGCTCCCAGGAGGCTGATGTAGCCAGTGAGGGTGCCCCTGGAGGTAGCCGGGGCCCGGCAGGGAAGGCAGGAGCATCCAGCTAGCAAGTGACCCTTTGGTCCTCCTTCAGACCCATTTCCTCCCCTTTGTCTCATCCTTACTGAGCGAAGAGCTGCATCTAGGGGAGGCTGAATGCGTGGATGTTCCAGTAAGAGCCAAACTGGTGGAAATTTCCAAAAGGGGAATTTCACTGTGATAAAGTGATTTGGATTGAGGAGTCTAATTACTCACAATTAATGATGAGGAGTTACCTGGTCCCAGGAAAGAAGTGATTCAAAAGACGTCCTCTTGAGAAGGACATCCACAAAAGATTCCTGGAAAACTGCCCTCGTAGGTATATCATGTGACATTTATGACATTTTTCAGAAGAGAAGAGGGGAATCAAACTGTATAAGAAATTAGATTACCCTTTACTCATAAACTCAAAGGGAATTCATTGTTCTTTCTTAAAAATCTGGAAGGGAGGTAACCCAAGGTAAACTTTTCTGATGTCTCAAAGTTCTTTGGTTCCATTTTCTACTCTTAGTCCTTTCTGCTGTATCTCAGTTTCTCCCCAAATTTTACATTGGTGGAAACACAATAAGAGCTGGTGGTCACTCTGTGGTTCCCCAGTTACCTTTAGGATAACTGCATATGCTGTAAATGGGATTGCTCCCACATTGCACGATAACTCTTCGCCTTTCTGCTATGATCAGTGCCTCTGGCTGGGTCCTTGTTCCACGAATTTCTCTTTCCATGACTGTGGGGCAGATGCTAAAATCTAGTGGCCAGCAGGCTTGGTGTGTTTAATACATGAAGTATTTTATTTTTAAATGGAATGATTGTTAATATTTTTAAGCTAAAACATTTTGTGTAAAAACCTGGATTTTAGCTTCTCTGGCCATACTAGTGGGCATTCCCACATGGCAAGGATCCAATGGATTTGATAAGCACTGCCCCCCATGTAGATAGGGTTTATGCTCTCATTTTTTACCCAGTCCACCTCTCTCATTCACATGGCCCACCTGGTCCCTGTAGCACTTTGTGCATGTGATATCTATTACAAGGTCAAGGTTTGAGGTATTGCATTTGGCTTTGCATGGGTTGGTGCTATCCTCCAGCATTCTGTGGGGTTTGAATCCCAGTTCTACCATTTTCACCTATGTGGAATTTTAAACAAGTGACTTTAATTTCCCTGAGACTGAGTTTCTGCAGTCTAAGTTTTACAGACATTAAATGAAGCATTTTTCAAGGCAATCGCCACAGTGCCAGGTACCTAGCATGTACCCTGGAAATGTTCCTTTTGTCTCATCTATGGGAAAATAGCTTACAATTTGTGCCATCTGAGTCTGAAATGGTTGAGGGCACTGAAAGTGTCCCCTAGGAGGCAGATGGGTGGCCTCAGGCAACCACATCCAATATGCCATCCCTCTATACATTGGGCCAGGCAGGCTACATGAAGGTGGAGAAAAGCTCTCCACAGTCTTGCTTCTGTGGCAAGAGCAGGCCTCTAGCTCCTGCACCTGCAAAGGGTTCAGAGGTTAAGGCTTGGAGAGATGGCACCAGGACCCCCAAGCCAGGCACACCCCTTGGCACAGTGGAGAAGTGAGGCAGATATGTTTAGTATCAAAGAGTGACATGGAAGGGGCAAAGGCCGTACAGTCTTCCATGCTAATAAGTAAGGCAGGTCTTGGTGGCCAGAAATACCTGTAGGCTTACAGAAGGAGGTGAAGCCTTGGAAGATGCTAAGTAGTCTGTTCAAGGTCATGCCACACTTAAGTGGTAGAGCTAGACTTAACACCTAGGTCTACCAGATTCCAGGGTAACAGCTCATTATCTTCATATGCACCTGCTAGGTATGTAAGGTAAGCATTATTTATGTCATAATATTGCTGGAAAATGTGAGAAGCATAAAT